TCCATTATTGATAAAATTATATCTTATATATAATATTTGTTTTTGTGATTCTTTGTATTTTCTATTTTAAAAATTTTATTATCTGACCATGACATCATTTCATTTCTACGTTGATTTCAATTTTGGCATTCCATTTTCATCATTTACAAAAATACTTCTTACATTTTAAACTTATTTTTGTTCAGTATAATGAATATACAATATTAAGGACATGCCCAGTTCTGCTTTGTATTATATATTTTATTTATTTTAATATTTAATTAATTAATAATGGCATTATTTATGAACGGATTTGACCTCAAATCGTTGAATTGCTTACCCACCATAGAGAGGGAAGAAAATGGTTTTGTTTTCAAAATATTTTTTTTATATTATTAAAATTAATGTTATGGATTTAATTAGTAGAGTTTAATGTTGAGAAAAATATATATAAAACATTTCATATTTATAATTAATGTTTTCAACTTGTTGTTGACTTGCTCGATTGAACCGTTTGAACTATGACTCGGCCTTGATTCTAGGTTTTTTTTTTGTTGAAACTCCCCCCACCTTTTGGTTAAAAACCGTCTAACTTGGGTGGTTCAACCATTGACCTCTTTGACCCAGTAAGCAAGTCATAGGTTGCGCACTTAATTATGTGCAAACTTTTGAAAGTCATAACTCTGCACTTCGATGTTCGATTGGGGTTATCTTTTTTTTTTATTTTTTAGTAACTTTTCAAGATCTATACGTTCCAAGGGCATTATGTGTCTTGCCTTGCTATTTTCACAAAAAAAAACCCATTTTTTGGCCCTAAATTATAATTTTTAATATTTTATAAATAAAAAATTAAAATGGAATTAAAAAAACATAAATAAATGTAACATAATACATATATTGTGTGTAATATATGTAAAACATAATTATAAAATATATGTAAAACATAACTATGATATATGTAAAATATAATTATACTATTTATTAATAAAATATATATTTTTACACACACACACACACATAGTGATGATGCAGAGCAGTTTGACTCGTTTGACCTTCATAGTCGAGCTGGTGGCCTATGACTCGAAGGCAAAAGTGGGTTGTCCTCCAGGGTCGGTTTTTAAAACATTGTTTATCATATTTATTATTGTTTAATTTGTCAAATATATGATGTTAAAAACATTTTCATTTTTTTAATTTCTATATTTATCATTTTATATATTTTTTCATTTTATTATTTAAGTGTGGCAACATGTATTTAACCATTTGACCCAAATGGTTTAATTTCTTACCACCACCTAGATGAAAACGCTATTTCTTACCACCACCCATAACTATAATTCGTATTGCCTTTTGCTAATTTCCTTCCTGTCAACAGCGAGGGGGCTGGAACACATAATTAGTGTGCGACACTAACTGCCGCCAGAAAGCAAATCACCAAAAGACAGGGGGCTAAGCCATAGATTATAATGAACTGTCAAATGCGAACACAAGGTACACGGGATTTACACAAAAAATATATGGCAGGAAAAACTCCAGACCCAACACACACAAGCAAATTTATCACAAAATCCAAAGACGAATAGACAATGTGCTTATCGATAAGCTTCCACTTACTGATAAGCAAGGGGGCTAATGTAGGTATAGCGCTCACTCTGACCCTCAAAGAACATCAAACATCAAGATTAACACCACAAAGCACACGTGAGCAACTAACAACCAACCCCCACGCTGTGATGAACTTGGAGCACACTAGCATCCCTGCAATGAACCCGAAATACGTATCACAGTAATCGTGATAAACCCGCGGTTCACCGAGTAAAGTTAGTGTTAGAACCCAAAGAAACCACAGCCAAACCCATTCGAGAGTACCATGCCCACAAGAATGTGCGATGAAGCCACACCCGCTAAGGCGTGCAATGAACCCACAACCCATGAACGCGCTTGTGGCAACGGGTCAGGGGGACCCATGGCGATAGACCCTCAGAGAACATCAAACATCAAGATTAACACCACAAAGCACACGCGAGCAGCTCACAAGCAACCCCCATGCTGCGATGAACTCGCAGCACACCAGCATCCCTGCGATGAACCCGAAATACGTATTGCAGTAATCACGATAAACCCGTGGTTCACCGAGTAAAGTCAGTGTTAGAGCCCAAAGAAACCACAGTCGAACCCATCCGAGAGTACCAAGCCCTCAAGAATGTGCGATGAAGCCACACTTGCTAAGGCGTGCGATGAACCCGCAGCCCACGAACGCGCTCGTAGCGATGGGTCAGGGGGGATCCAAGCTGAGCCCATGGCGAGGCCCGCATATACCCGAAGGCATGCGGAACCCACGACATCAAAGGATGAAGAGTTTATATACTCTATAGAAGAAGTTAGATACCAAAAATGGTATTCAAAGATTACCATTAGAATTAAAGCTTTCAATCTTTCAGTAATGGCCTTAATAGACTCAGGTGCGGACATTAATTGTATTAGAGAAGGAATTGTGCCTTCTAGATATTTTGAAAAAACAACCCAACAAGTTAATGCAGCGGATGGAAGGAAATCGGAGATAAAGTATAAGATCCCCGTAGCCCATATCTACAACCAAGGAACTTGTCTAAAGTCCACCTTTCTTATGGTAAAAGACCTAAGACAAGAAGCTATTTTGGGAACTCCATTCTTGTTAGCCATCCTTCCTTGCCAAATTGACCCTGCAGAAATCACAACCACAATAGGGGAAATTTCGGTAACTTATAAGTATTGTCAGAAACCCAAAACTTCATCCATCAATACCCTTAAAGAAAATGCAAAAGGCAAAGTAAAGCTTATAGCAAAATTACAATCCGAAATAAAAGAAAGACAACTAATTAAGTAGCTTGAAAAACCAAAAATGCAATTAGAGATTGAAAACTTTCAAAAAAGGATCGCATGCGACATTTGTACTGAATCACCCAACGCCTTCTTGCATAGGAAAAAACATACAGTAGAACTACCGTATGAAGAAGATTATAGAGAATAAAAAATTCCTACGAAAGCCAGACCAATCCTAATGAACAATAGATTATTAGAAATCTGTAAAAAGGAAATCCAAGATTTACTGAACAAGGGTCTAATTAGACCAAGCAAATCTCCTTGGAGTTGCCCTGCTTTCTATGTGAAAATGCAGTAGAAATAGAGAGAGGAGTACTAAGACTCGTTATAAATTATAAACCTCTTAACAAAGCATTAAGATGGATTAGATACCCCATTCCTAATAAGCAGGATTTAATAAACCGATTATATGATGCAAAGATATTTTCAAAATTTGACCTAAAGTCAGGGTATTGGCAGATTATAATAGAAGAGAAGGATAGATATAGGATTGCATTTACAGTACTCTTTGGTCATTACGAATGAAATGTAATGCCTTTATAGCTAAAAAAGGCATTACATTCTTTGGAATGAGAAACAATCTTTGAACCTCACTGCGAATCTGCAACCCCGTGAGTCTGCAACCTAAGGCATTACATTCTTTGGGCTAAGAAAGGCATTAAATTCTTTGAACCTCACGAGTCTGCAACCTAAGGAAGCTCCATTGCCACTACTGTCATTGCACGTCACTGCGAGTCTACAACCTAACTTGAATCGAAACTCACTCCGAATTTGCAACCTAACAAAGCTCCACCGCTTGCCACCGCCGTTGCAACTTGCAAGGGTGGTTCCTTCTTTCTCTCTGTCTCTCTCTCCTGCCTTTCCGTCACCGTTGCTACAAGTTGCAGCACGACGATTCCTTCTCTCTCGCTCTCTCTTTCTCTCCCCTTTGTCTTCTCGTCACCGCTACTGCAACTTACAATAGCGGCGGCGGTTCCTTCTCTCTCTCTTTCGCCCCCCCTCTCTTGCCATCGCTACCGCTGCAAGTTGCACTGGTAGTGGTTCTATGGTTCCTTGTTTCTCTCTCGCTCTTGCTCTCGCTCTCGCTCATTCTCTCTCTCTCTCTCTCTCCTATCTTCTCGCCACTACCACTACCGCTGCAAGTTGCAACTTGTAGCGACAGTTCGGTGAATAGTAATAATAATAATAATAGTATTATTAATTATTTTAATGTTTTTTTATTACACATTCATTTTTTATTAATTATTAAATATTTGTTTATTAATGATTAATATTTAATAATTATTTTTTATTAAACATTACTAATTATTAATTATTTTTATTAACTAGTAACTTTTAATTATTTCATTAATTTTTAAAAATTATTTTAATTTTTATTTGTATAAATTATTAATTATTTTAATATTTTATAGTCATTAATTATTTTTTTTAATTTTAATCGTTTCATTTAATGATTAGTAATTATCAATTATTAATTTATTATTTTTTATTTGTATTGTTACAATATTATTTTGAGGTTGAAAATTAATTTTTATGAGAAAATACAAATTGAATTCAACATTTCCAACTAGTATATTATAGGGACAAAATAGTAAAACAGTAAATTTATGATAAAAGATTGATTGAATACAAACAAACTTGTAGATTCAGAGCCTCTAAAAAGTAGAAAAACATTTATGCCCTATTTTCAGATTTTAGACATTTTTAATATCTTTTTAACTTTTGAGACTTCAGATTTTAGATTTATCAAATGCCACCTAAGAATTTGCTCGCTTGCGAAGCTCACATTGCTACTTCGGATTTCTTATCTTTTAGCTTTTCTCCTCTCCCTCATTCTCTTCTTCTTGTTTGTCTTGTTGACTTATGCGTTGCATTACCCCCGTTTTGTGTAGTGTTCTTTGGTTTCCGGACATAATACCAAGCACCTACTATTAATTCGAGAAGAGAGGTTAGTTAAACAAGTCTTGGGATATGGTTGATCGTCCGTAGGTTGCAAAATGGTTCCTGAGCTCGGGTTTTGGGTCGGATCCAATAAAATTTTAATCCTAATCCGCCCAAATTGCACCCCTAATTCACAGCGGATCCGGATCGGCTGGTTCTTGCGGCTGGATTTTTAGTAGAAACGCACTTTCAAGCGTGCAAATGCACACATCCAGAAAACACTTTCCGGAGAAAACGTTTTCATCTTCAAGAAGCTTCCAAGCTCCGATAATCCAATCAATTCTAATCTCCACTATTCAGTACTCCCCACACCTTGTAACTTTTCTAGCTTCGTCTTCCTCTGCGTATGGACATATAACCAATTAGCCATTCGTCCTTGCTCGTTCTTTCCTTCCATCTCTCCTCCCAATGGCTAACGCAATCTTTAGAACCCCTGCCTTCTTCGTGCCTCTGTCTGATCTAAGCACCACATCCTTGGAAACCCCGAGATTCTTACGTTTTTCTTCTAAACAGAGAAGTAGAAGACTTGTCCAACCAAACATTTCTCGTTTCTCCAATAAATTATCACTTCATTTTCCAAAATTGCTACCTTTTGCTGCCTCTGGAGAAGCTACGGAGACCGACCAATTTGAAGAAATTGAAACAGAGGTAATGAGTCTTAGCATTCTTGTTTATATATATTCTTTAGCTTTATGGGTAAGATTTGAAGTTTGACAAGCGCTTAACTGGCAGCATTGAACGTCAAGAGTAGTTCGACTATGATATGGAAAAGATATGATAACTGAAAAACAACTGACCAATAACACAGAATCTTAAACGTGGTTAGGAACATGGTGTGATTTATCAAAATTCATGGGTGGGTTTTGATTGGTCAAAACTCTTTCCATACCATATCTTTTCCATATCATAGATTTTCCCATTTTAAACATAAGTGGTTTTATGTTTTATGTTGTAGGTTATTGTTCTTTGGAATTTTCTTTTAGTCTCGAGAGAACTAGGGGTTGTTATCTGTTTTTTTTTTTTTCATGAACATTTCTATTATTGCTGTTATTTTTATTTTGGGTTCTATTTATATGAGTAGCTTCATTGGAAATGTACGAGCAATGTTTATGGCTTTTGGGTGCAACGGAAGTTGTATTATTCTTATAAACTCAATACGGTACCACCAATAAAAAGAAAAAAAAACCTTAATACGAACCTTAATGTTTATGGCTTTTGGAAATGTTTTGCCTTATGCCCTTATCTATTTATCTTTAGTTTCTAAAGAGGCAAAGGAGATTGAATTGTATTAATGAGGAAAACGACTGTATATTAGAGTATATACAATTGCGTAGAACTGAATGATTGTTTTAGAATATAGATTTTTATGTCCCTTTAACTTTCTTTTCTGAGATTTCACATGAATGTTGCCTTTCTTCCTGAATTAAAGATTTGATTTTTTTTAGTAAAATAGTTTTTTGTTGCTTTCTTTTTCTTTGTATCTATAGTTCTTGTATTGGGGGCTATCGCTTGTTGTAATTGTAAAATCTCTGGATTGCAAGCATGAGAACTTGAGTTCTAGTTGGAGGACGGCAACTTTGTGTGAAAAAAATGCAAAGGTTAGGACTATACCCAATCTACCCCTACCAAGACCCTTGATAACCGGGAGTCTGGGACAAGCGTTGGGTAATGGCCTTTTTTATTCTTGTTCCATTTCCCTTTTGTGAAGTGGTAGCTACTCGTGTACATATAATTCGGTCTGAACTAGATATTTGTAGTAGGACCATACTAGAAAAATAAATTAGTATATTAATAAAGTATGGTTCTGTTACTTGAAGATATCTCTCTTCTCTGTCATAATTTATTTTTCTAGTAGGACCATACTAGAAAAATAAATTTGTATATCTTCTTGATTAATAAAATTTAAGTTACCAGTAAAAAATGTATGCTTTGAAACAGAAAACTCATAAATCTGTTCCTTTATTTACTTTTTTTTTTCCAATTTAGAGACATTCCTTTGATTTCATAGGTGTTGTATGGTTAGAAGCTTTTGAGTTTTATTACCTTGTAGAGCTATCCATAAGAAGTGATAGGCTATCATGTATTGCCAAGGATTTATTGATACCATTAGGTTGGTGATCTTCTAAAGATTCTGTTGATTGTATGATGTGCAATATGGTGTCATGAATATGAAATGAGCAAGGTCAACTGTCAAAATTTTGAATAGCTTCTTTAACTTTGAATATATGATTTTTGTAGATCCATTGCAGTGATGTTGCTTCTATCTGCATGAATATGATGAACAGGATCTAGTTTTTGTAGATCCATAAATTTTCATGATATATTTTTTTAATAAGAAATAAATTCTTGTTATCTATTATTTTCTTTTTTCAATAACTAGAAGATTGTATTGCATATAGAAGACTAACCAGATACGTTGGCAAACTTAGGTGTGATTATAGAAAGCTTATTTTTGGGAATGGGGTGAACTTAGGTAGAAATTAATGGGGGTGATTTGAGATGATGCCAGTTCATCTTTATCTTTGGTACCTTGCCACTTCAAAATATCTTGGTTCCTGTTCTTTAATCAATAAGTTCTTTCACTTGTAAAGAAAAAAAAATCCAAGGCTTAAAAGAGAGGGCCAAGGAGAAAAGCACATGACCATTGGAATAAGGAGTGGTGAAGAAACCAAAAAGATACAGGAACAGACACCTTTGCTTGGAGAATATATTCAATCAGACTAAAAGGATAAAAAAATTATTCATTTGGTTCATGTAGACAAGGCTTTATTTCATTTGAAGGATGGTTTATATGTGGCAGGTCAGTTTAACAAGTTCAAAAGGGTATATATCAGTGGAAGGGTGAGAAGGATGACCCCTTGTCACGGGGCTAATCGGCGAGGCCCCGTGCGGCACTCGAGTGGGTCGAGTAAGCCTAAGAAAGCAAGCAGACACACACAAAAAGCAACAAAGATGGCACACGAATTAGTAAAAAGGCACTTTATATTGCAATAGATGGCAAGCACAAGCACACAAGTCTGTGTCGAGGGGACCTCGTGCTTAACCTTTACACGGTCTTGGCACCTCTCAACTACTCACCTCCCCTCAAAGAGTAGCTTAAGGTTTTGGTGCTCTGACAAAAGATTACATGGAAATACTGGAAAATCATACTACATAATTACAATAATGCCATCGGCAATCCCCCCATACAAAGTACACAAGTTGCCCCACCCAAGACACACTAGACGACACTCCGTTGGCGAGGCATGGGCGCAATGAAGGCACTTGATGGCGCGACAAAATTGTCACTTGTGACAGTCTCCCCCACTCAATTTAGTCTTCGTCCTCGAAGACCAGCTTCAGCTTGTGACTTGAGTCCGATGTTGGTGAAGGAAGGTTCTTCTGCTGCTCCACGAACTTCTTCTCTTCCAAGGCCTCAACAGGTGCTTGGGTAATAGGTTTGAGGACAGTTAGGATGATGGGGAAACCTATGGCTAGGTCCTAAGTTAAGTCCTTGGCTAGCGGCTTGGAGATAAGTCATGCATGGCTTAGATTGTTTTATGCTACTAGCTAAGGTAGGGATTTGTGCAAAAGATGAATTTTGGTCAAAAGGGTGTTGGATACTGAGGGGTGTCCCCCAAGGTTCTCTCCTCACCGGACTACTATGTAGGTTAGATGGAGGCCAAATGCTGGAATGGCTCCTAGAGCAAATGGGTGGCTCTCTCTTCCCCGGGTTATAGGTACGACTGATGTTGGAGTTGGCCTTGGGTCTTCTCTTGGGCCCGTTGATTGAGGGCGCTGGCGTCTTTTGCTGCAGATGAAGCTTCTGCTGACGTTGTGGCGATGATGGCACTGTCTTCTTGTAAGAGATGTCACAATCACTTCTGACTACGGTGACGGTGGTTGCTGCTGCCGAGCTCTTTGGTGTCCCTTGATGTGGAGGTGGAAGTTGGAGTTGCAAGGTTGAAACTTGCTTCTTCTTCAAATCACCAATTGTAATCAGGTCGACCATGCAAGGTGTCTGCTCATCCATGATCAACAAGGTGTTGAGGTGAGGCGCTAGTGCAGCTTTTGCCTGGGTCAGGAAGTCCATACCAAGGACGATAGCAAAGTCATCCAGTTGTGCTACAGAGAGGTCAATCTCCTGGTTCCAGGTGCCAACTCGGAGTCCAACTCGGCGAGCCATGCCTTCGATTGGTTTTGCACCTGTGTTAACAGCTTTGAGCCAGTCTGGCTCTCTTGAGATGGCCAAATTAAGTCTCTTGGCCTCTGCAATGGATATAAAATTGTGAGTGGCCCCTGTGTCAACTAGGGCCCGGGTTGGCTTCCTGCCAAGGTATATGTCAACGTACCTCAGTCCTCTCTTGACTGAGGCGGGCTGTTTGGAGGTAGCCCCTTTTTTCACCATGGCATTGAAAAGTTGTAGGGCGCCCACTCTTGGCGCCTGGGTACTCCGTTCCCCATCACTCTGCTCATCATCACTTAGTTTGGCAATGAGGTCATTCAACTTCACTCGCTTTGGGCAATTCCTGGTCAAGTGCTCCCCCCACAAATGTAGCAAGTGGGAGGACGGCTGGGTCTCCCTTGATATCTGTTGTTGTAGTAGCTTCGTCTTCCTTGTGGCTGCTTCCCTTTGTGGTGCTCGACTGGTTTGTGGTTGAAGGGCTGCTTCTCTTTTGGGGGACTTGGTTGTCTATCTCCCCCACTCGAATGTGTGGTAYGTGGGCTGGCTGGTCTGCTTCCTTCATCATCCGACAGTCTCCGTTCACTAAGTTGTTTAGCCACGGCCATGGCAAAGGCAAGGTCCTAAACATTACGTCGTTGGAGCTCGAGCTTGGCCCAAGGATTTAGGCCATCCATGAATTTGAACAATAAGTCCTTGTCTGACATATCGGTGACTTCTAATGTGAGGGCTGAAAACTCTTTGACATATTCATGGAGCGAGTTGCCATGCTTGAGAGTCTTCATTTTGCGACGAGCGATGTACTCCACGTTCTCTGGGTAGAACTGTCTCTTCAGCTCTTGTTTAAAGTCAGCCCAGGTACGAATAACACACGTACCACGTTCTATGTCAACACACCTTCTGCGCCACCACAACATAGCGACATCAGTCAAATACATAGTAGCAGTACGCACCTGAGTCGTTTCATCAATCACATTAGCGGCGGCAAGGTACTATTCCATTTTCCACAAGAAGTTGTCAAGCTCTCGTGCGTTGCAGGTACCCGAATAGGGTGTTGGCTCCCTAATCTTGATGTGGGAGGGAGTATGTGCAAATGAGGTGCTGGCTGGATTGGCGACGACCCTCTTCAGGATTGCGCATTCAGCTTTGAGTTCCTCTAGTTGAGCTTGGATGTCGGAGGAGGCACACGTGGCTGACTTCATTGAGGCCCACTCCGCTTTCATTTCATCTAATTGGGCCTGGACGACCATTGATGTGGAGATGGTTCTTCTCCACGTTGCCTGTTCTTTCTTCATCTCATCGAGCTGGGCTTGAAAACTGTCAAGCCTGTCTTGGACCTGCGAGTTGGATGAGCTTGCTTCTTGTTGGCGCGCATTGCTGCAAATTTCCTTGAGCGTGCCATTGATTATGTCACGGACCTCGTCCACGACTCCACTCAGGCGACCATCCATCTCGACCAATGTAGTGTCCATGGCTTCCATGTTTTGATGCAACCCGTCTATCGATTCTTGCATGATCGCATCTCACCTACGGTGGCTTCGCAATGTAGCATGCGCAAGTCAATGGCTGCATGCCTGTTGGAAGGTTTCTCACGTTTGCTGGGCTTCAGTGCCTTGTCCGTGCCGATGTCGTCGGCGGGTGCATCGTCGGGCTCATGGGATGTGGAGAGTCCATGCTCAATCTCCTCCATGATGTCCCTGTTGTGCTTCATGCTGTCGCTCGCGTCACGGGTCGAATATCTAGGAAGGAGCTCCTGCTCTGATACCAACTGTCACGGGGCTAATCGGCGAGGCCCCGTGCGGCACTCGAGTGGGTCGAGTAAGCCTAAGAAAGCAAGCAAACACACACAAAAGGCAACAAAGATGGCACACGAATTAGTAAAAAGGCACTTTATATTGCAATAGATGGCAAGCACAAGCACACAAGTCTGTGTCGAGGGGACCTCGTGCTTAACCTTTACACGGTCTTGGCACCTCTCAACTACTCACCTCCCCTCAAAGAGTAGCTTAAGGTTTTGGTGCTCTGACAAAAGATTACATGGAAATACTGGAAAATCATACTACATAATTACAACAATGCCATCGGCAATCCCCCCATACAAAGTACACAAGTTGCCCCACCCAAGACACACTAGACGACACTCCGTTGGCGAGGCATGGGCGCAATGAAGGCACTTGATGGCACGGCAAAATTGTCACTTGTGACACCCTGGCAGCTCAAGGTTCAAAGAAAAATCCTGACAACTGATCATCTGCATAAACATTCTGTGGTGCCTCTTTGGAGATCGATTTCAAAGATGCTTTGGTGGTTGTAGAAGATAAAAAAAAATGACTTAGAGGAAGATGAGGAGCTTACTGCAGTATGTGGGGAAGATTATGAGGGGAATTTTGATAGTTGAAAAGGAAGTTCTAGTAAAATTTTGGACCTTTTTTCTTG